TCCCTTATACAGGGTGTGCCATTTAACACTTCCGCTGCCAATATCTCCGAAATGAAGAAATTTATTTTAGTTTCGGAAATTGGGGTTGTTAGGTCCCTCGAATAGCTTCAAGTTGTAGTTAGAATTGTTAGTATAAATCTTTCTGTATAGATGGCGTGGCGATACTAAAAAATTTCTTGTTCCCTGTTCCATCCAAAAGATCGTTAAATTTTGAGTAATTTTTGTAATATAAAGTTTTTCCCTATATTTACTTGTTTTCGAGATATATCGACTTCAATATGCAATGTATGATATAACAGGAAAATCAATTTTTTTATTTAAATCACACTGAGACAAAATATTCTTTTAAAATACTGTTATAATGGCTTTATTCACATCACATAAACTAACAAACAATAAGTTATAAAAAAACGAATGTTCAACTACAGAAAAAAAATGTACAATGGTAAATTTTATAAGGGGCAGAGACGAACCGCATTTTATCAAATGTTATTAAAAAATGCAGTTATAGGTGTCTCATATCATTTGTTTAAAATAAAACAATGAAAGATGACACATATTAGTTTTCCAATAATTACAGTTTTATCAGTTTGCCTCTTTCAATTTAACTATACTAATCATACGATTTACCATTGTACAATTTTTTTTCTGTAGTTGATCATTTGTTTTTTTATAATTTATTGTTTGTTGGTTAGTATGTGGTGTGAATAAAGTCATTATAACAATATTTTAAAAAAATATTTTGTCTCGGTGTGATTTAGATAAAATAATAGATTTTCCTGTTATTTATATCATAAATTGCATATTGAAGTCGACATATCCCGAAAACAAGTAAATATAGGGAAAAATTTTATATCCCAAAAATTTTTCAAAATTTAACGATCTTTCAGATGGACTGCATTTCCACGTTCCAGGGATCAACAATTTTTTTAGTATCGCCACGCCATCTATACAGAAAGATTCGAACTAACAGTTCTAACTACAATTTGAAGCTATTCGAGGGACCTAACAACCCCAGTTTCCGGAACTAAAATAAATTTCTTCATTTCGGAGACATTGGCAGCGGGAATGTTAAATGGCACACCCTGTATATGTCTAGGGAAGTTACATGATGTGTTTTCTGGCAAAATACTGACCCCATTTATCTAATCATTTACGGATTGGACACTGCCCGACAACTTTTACTTCCTACCCGTCTCTCTCCTAAATATTATTAAAACTAA